GATAGAGATAGAGAGAGTATTTGCTCGCAAAGCGGGTGTGCTCGGTGTCGAATTCGGAGAAGTGGATGTAAGAAGGCCGCATGTACGACATTCGGCATCCCTTGGGCTCGATCTGGCGAGTCGTGAGGGACCGGAAAATGGCGACCAAGAGACCAACACCAGCCGTGGCAACGAAGAAGCAGAGAAGCGACAGGAACCAAAGGCCGCGACCGCGCGCCCCCGACGCTGCTGAGGGCGGTTGCTTGGTCGTGGTCATACTGGGCGACGAGGTAGGGAGCGACAGTGGTGAGAAGGACGCGATCGCTGCATGGCTGGGAGGGTGCTGCTGGTGGCCATTCGCCTGGTTCGAGTTGGAGTAGAGGCCGCGCAGCTGTCTGTCCAGAGTCGACGACTGACGGGCTATTAAGCCATTGAGGCCGTCTTCCGGCTCGGCGTCTGGGTCTTGTAGCTCGAGGGAGGTATTGCCACCGACATCGACAGACGACGAGCGCCTCTTCATGGGAAAGGTCGAGGGGAGACCTTTGGTGAGGCCGAAGCTGTGGGTGGCTATGGGTTGCTACGGCACGGCCAGAGCAAGGCGATCGCAGCAAGTAACAACGTCTGGGAAAAAGTAGTGAAATTAAAGCAGAAAGTCACACGGCCGAATGCGACCCAATCCGCTGTGGCCTGGTCCAATGGGAGCGAGCAGCGCGAGGAGCAGAGCGCTAAGTGGATAATCGCGGGAAAGCAGCTCGATACAGTACTCGTACCAGTACCAGAAGTTGGGGGGAGCGTTTCGCGTTATTATTTAGCAATCCAGCATTTGCGCACTAATGCAGGACGAGCCGGGCTATCGTGGTGTCAGCGAGAGTGTCTATCACAGAGCTTAATACGAGTAGTACTACCCAACTTCATAAGTACATACAACACGTGTGAGAAACTCGGTGCATTACAGAAAAGCGCTTGGAAGGACCATGACACTATGACTAGATTCCACGTGAAGTACACTGGATCTCTGCTCCTATTGTATATGTACTCTCGTCGTTGGAGCCGCTTTGGAACCTCTGCATCGTTTTGGATCCCTATAAATGAACCCGTCAAACGCATACCCTTATATGAGTGCATGGGCTTTACTCTAGGCACTATATGTTGCTAACCCCCTTCACCACACGGGACTACCAAGGTCCCTTACGCTAACCAGCAATGGATATTAAGGTGTTATAGTACTGCCTGTAGTATTACCTGTAGCATCATCACTCACTCACTCACTACCCATTCCGAATCCAACAATTACCACGAACCGCCAACCACATTGAACGCTCCCTTTGATGTAAAAACACCGGGCGATACATGCGCAGACACTCCACGGCAGCCACGAACAGAACATCCATGTCGAGGCTACGTGGCTTCCCATCACCTCAATGCCTATTTGTATAGAGTGCCGATATCCCGTCAAAACTCTATGGACACAATATTCCGGAGCCGATGACAAGTCCAACGGCCACTTGATCCGTCTCACTGTCTGCCGAAAATGCGGCCACTTCTGTGATAAATATGTAGAGCACGACTTCGTTGTGCTCTTCATCGATCTAGTCCTCATCAAACCTCAGGTATCTTGCTTGAACTGGGCTTAATTTGCGTGCCATATCTCATATATGAGTCTCCATAGGTCTATCGCCATTTGTTGCACAATACCCTGATGCGAGATGGCGATCGCTTCGACGTACGTTTGCTGCGCCGCCTCCCTGCCTCGCCCGCTATCAGCCGCCGCACGCGGAAATGCTGACGTCCTGGGTAGCCTTCCATCATTCGCTTGGGGGTGTTGCTTCTGCTGTTCGACGTCTACTTGACGTGGGCGCGCTTAGAGAAGCAAACCATTCCATCGTCGACGCCCGGGGAGAGTAAACTGGGACCCCTCGCTGAACAGCCGATTGTGATCCAGTACATGTTTTTCTGTCGGTATCCCGCCCTTCTACGCGCTTCACTGCATCGGCTAACGTCGCAAACTTCAGTGGTCCTCTGCGCTCTTTCCACCATCGCCTTCCACATGAGCATCCGGTTTCTAACGTCCTCCCGCTTCTCACCGCTGCATATTACGGGGCTAATGCCACGGTATGCTCGCCCGAACTCGGTGTCGACGGCTCTGCTTGTTTCATCGTCGACCAAACTATTTCCGATACTGATGGTCATCTGGGAGTACGACGTGCCCGCTGCAGCCAGGTCGTTAGGTTGGGCTGTCGTGGCAAATAACGTAGAAGCCCTGCGGATCCTACTCGACTGCAAGTATTATGTTGCTTGCTTCTTAGCAATTGCCGGCGCATCGGTGCGCTGGGCCGTGGGCCAGCTGATATTGATCTCTGCTGGACTGGGTGATGTAGATACTATCGGTGATAGCAGCGTTGCTGCAGACGGCAAGGCACTTTGGGCCTTGGTCAAGTATTTGAGAGACTGGGCCGGCCGTCTGGCTGTAGGATAGGATGACTCTCGAAAACCAAAAGAGCGTATATCAACCGCACCAGGCATTACAGAATACAATGTCAACATTAAATGATGAATAGTACTAACGCCGGCCTGTATTATGAGAATCCGCAAGTCTCAGCGAGGCCGACTGGCCGACTGAACCCAAGCTTTTTCGACAGCTCTATTTGTGCACTTTAATCATGGATAGCTTGCAGATGAAGAGGTCGATTCCCAGAGAAACCCCCGATAGCGAAACAAGTCGAAGCGAACGAAGTAAAATCCCCAACGCCAATAGGTCCCATGCGCCTGAAGGTTCGCTCGTCATAGCCAGCCGTCAAGTCTAGATGCTATGCCCCACAAACTCCTCTCGTAGATTGCTTCGTCTCGGTGCGATCAGCGGATGCAGTTGGGCGAGGAAAGTAATTAGCCACATGAGATAGCAGCTGACGATGGCCAGGATCAAAGAGGACCGCCATAATCTGCCGAAAGCAATTGTCAGTATGATACAGTCTGGAGAAGGAGAGGACGAAAGACTGACACTTGGTTCTCGCCTTTGGGCGACAGGAACCACGCCGCTGCGCTCAACGCAACGATGACCACGAGGCCAATCACAATGGAATATCTGTTGATGAATGCCCGACAACCTCGTTAGTCCAGAATCCTATGCATTGCGTAGGTGATCCTTACCCCTGGGCCATTTGGATGGTTTGGTGGTGGTGGAGAGACACGAGTTGGAGAGTGCAAGTCTGTTGACGACGGACGACTGGCGACGCAACTGCAGGTATGAAGCTGTACCCTGAACGCTAGATGACTGTGGATTACCCGTCCCTTGACGCATTGTATTTCTAGAGGCCGACCAGGTCGCGTCACCGGGTGGCTTCTGGGAAAGGGCCTAAAGATTCTCCGACTGATAATTACGTAAGCACTCCATTGGTTTATAGAGTATTAACTATGTAAGAAGATATATTAAGATATATATATATTAGTTAATTAATTAATTAAATTAAGTAATCTTTCTAGTTTACAAATTAACTTATGTATATTTTAGTGATATTATTAAGGATCTTATAAATATAATAAGAAAAAGCACTATAAAATATCTCATTCAAATACTGAATTCCCCTGAATTCTGCTCCATGTTGCTAGAATTACTATACTACTAGTACGAGTACCGGTTGCAGCTGCGCTTAAGCTTGTGCTGCGGTATCGAGCCTCGAGTCCGGGTCGCCGGGTGGATATTGTGGGTACTCAACTCGGACAAGCTAGATCTACGGTTCAAACTTCTCCCCGCGGCGCAATAGCCTCACGATCAATTGCGCACTGCTTCACATCGGATTCCCATTGATCCTCGCAAAGATGCGGCCGACACTTCGAGCTCTCGCCAGTTATCTGGAGCCCGGAACTCCTACCGGCCTCACGGGGCTGTGGACGCACAAGACGCCCCGGTCAACGCTCCTCTACCTGTACAACACCACGCTCAACCGACTGCAATCCATACCCGAGACCTCTCTGTACCGCCAATCCGTCGAGGCGACCACCAAGCACCGCATGGGCCTCGTCGAAAAGATCGTTCCCCCCGGATATGAAGAGTGGACTGTCAAGGCCAGGGAGCTGATGCGAAAATATCCCCACCAATTCGAGTCCGCAAGCGATCGAGCTGATGGCAGTGGTGCCAGGGCTGTCAAGTTTGGCGACCGTGTTTTCGTTGTTGGAATTGCGCATGAGGCTGGAGACGTCCGTGTCGAGGAATGGAATGGCGAGAGCCAGGTGATCAGCAGCGATGTGGTTCCAGATGCCTCGGAACACCAAAACATCAACGATGTTAAGCTGGAGTGGGTGGAAGAACCGCAGCTGACTGCTGAACAGTGAGGCTCATCACTTGGTCCACGTACTTGTCAGGCGGCTAACAAGCGAGGCAGGGTCAAGGAACTTGAGCAGCAGTTGGGTGCTGGCCTCATCGAAGAGGTCATCCAGGTGGCAGAAGGTGAACTGCAGTTGATTGAGACCATGGAGAAGGCGCAAGTGTAAGTCACTTCAAAGACAGGGCATTCCTTGGACGTGCAAGTATCTTCCATTGCTAACATGGGCTGTAGCTGGGAAAATCTGGAAGAAAAGCCGGCCCCAGGGCAGTGGACATATTTCGAGCGACAATCGTCATAAGATTCAGAGCTGTGTATTCTCTAGTTTCTTATTATAAATACCAAAATCCAATACCATTTTCCGTAACTGTATCCGTATCTGATTTATGCTATATATTACTTAAGTTTTAAAGAAAAGGTCCCTTTATATATATATATATTAATTATATTAAAGAATTATAGGAATATAGAATATATAATAATTATATAGTTAGATTCTGGTATAAATAGCAAACTGGCATTACCGAGTAGTATATAGTGGATGTTAAGATATTATATAATACTACCTAGGTACTACTACTTTACGCGGTACACTAACGCGTTCAGGTTCCCGGCCCCTGGCGGAGTTGACGCGAGCTTCTCTGATGACATGGTCGCATTTCAGTGATGATATGACAGCTTAAACATCTGTTTTCGAATCATTTTACTAGAATATATGGCCACTATCAAACAGATTGATGGCCGTACCGTAAGCTCTCTCGCGCATTACACGGTGAAATCAGCTCACAATCCGCCGTTAGGTCCATCAAATACAATCTGGGCAGGTCATTGTTGACCTGTGTTCTGTAGTCAAGGAGCTGGTTGAGAACAGCGTTGATTCCGGGGCAACAATCATAGGTTTGTGAGCGCTCTACGGCTGCGGTGTTCACTGCCCGGACTTCTGACTGACCTGTGATTTAAGATGTCCGTTTCAAGAACCAAGGCCTTGATTCAATCGAGGTTCAAGACAATGGATCTGGAATCTCACCCGCCAACTACAGCTCTGTCGCTTTGAAGCACTATACGTCGAAGCTTTCTTCCTACTCTGACATAGAATCGCTCCAGACATTCGGATTCCGCGGCGAGGCTTTGGCATCACTATGCGCACTGTCTGTCCTCACCGTGACAACATGCCTTGAAGAAGATGTCCCTAAAGGATCCCGGTTGACGTTCCGCCAGTCAGGAGAGCTGGAGGGAACGACAGTTGTTGCAGCCCAGCGAGGGACCACCGTCACAGTGGAAAACTTGTTCCACAATCTGCCTGTCCGACGCCGAGAACTTGATCGTAATATCAAGAGAGAATGGCACAAGGTTATTGCTCTACTTAATCAGTACGCGTGCATTCTAACGAACGTGAAATTCTCCGTATCTCAGCAACCTACGAAGGGCAAGCGCATAGTCCTCTTCTCCACCAAAGGCAACCCGAGCACTCGTGACAACATCATCAACATTTTCGGCGCAAAAACACTGGCCGCGTTGATCCCTCTCGATCTGCACCTGGAACTCCAGCCATCGGGTACTCGCCCTGACTTGCAAATCAGTGAGAAGTCGACACCACACAGCCATGACGTCCGAATTGTTGGACATGTTTCCAAGCCCGTCCACGGTGAAGGCAGACAAACACCGGATCGGCAGATGTTCTTCGTCAATGGTCGACCCTGCTTGCTGCCTCAACTAGCAAAAGCGTTCAACGAGGTCTATCGATCATACAACAACTCCCAGTCGCCTTTCATTTTCGCCGACGTCCAGCTGGATACAATGCTATACGACGTGAACGTCAGCCCTGATAAGAGGTCTATTCTTTTACACGACCAGAATACCCTCCTGGACACCCTCCGCATCTCCTTGTCTCAACTGTTTGATACACAAGAAAACAGTATATCAATTGCGGCGTCCACTCAAGATACGAAGTCGCAGTCTTCTCACAATAGACTTACCCAACCAGGACGACTTGCTCGGATGTTTGACAAAGCAGCATCTCGATCAGAATCTGTGTCCTCTACTCCTCCAGTAGTAGAGCCCAGCCGCAGTCCTGAAGTGAACTCATCCGGTTCCATGGAAGACAGCCAGGGATCAGAAGAGGACAATGGAACTCCGCCAGCATCACGATCGGTGACTGCCCCGTCACGAGGTGACAAGATGGAGAAGTTTCGCCATAAGGAAGATGTTGATGATGACGATAATGACGATAATGAGGAGGACGATGATCACGATGACGAGGAGGACCACGATATGGACTCGGCATCTGAGATCGGTGCCAGGCCATCCCCAGATACAAAAACGCCGAAAACTCCTCGTTTAAAGACTGTTTTAGTGGATCGTTCCCCTTCTCACGAGGGTTCGTTTGCTGTTTCCAGCGCCAGCAGAAGTCCGGGTCGACCTCGAAGGTTATTCAGCTCCGTTCTTACTGAAAGCGCAGAGGTATACAACCCTGTCAGCTCTGCTGCGCCTGAAGATATCACGCTGGATATAGGCAGCAACGACCTGGCCGAGGCGATAACCCCTGCGCGAGAAGTGAGCAGCGCTTCCATCGCTTCAGAGGTGGCAGAAGAAGCTTCGGAGCCAGAACAGTCGCATTCGACATCAGCCATATCCGGTAAAGCAAAGGCGTTCTTGCTTGCTTCTGAAGTGTACAGCCGGCATACCGAGCCCGTTATGCAACAACCTTTTCCACGCATACCGAATAACGTCAAAGCCACACACGATGATGTTCCCGCCGGACAAAGCGGGCATGCCATGCAGTCTCTTGAGACAGAAGCAGAACCTGTTGTTCGACTCATCAGACCTACAGTCTCATCACTTGATAGTGGTTCTTCAATTGGCACAGCAAACGCAAGTGCCCCTCCGTTGGAGTCGACATCACAACTCTCCAAAGCTGCACGACGGAAAGATGCTACGACATGTTTGATACAGAACCTGCACATAGGAAAGGGAAAGCTCCGAGTGTTACAAAATGCAGGTCCTCGTCGTCAAAGTTCCTTGTCTGTTTCTACGGCGCGTGATACCTCTTCTGTGGAGCGGATCGACGCCAGCGACGCCGAGTCCAAACTCCCTCTTATTATTTCAAAAGGTGACTTTTCTCGAATGAGGATCGTCGGCCAATTCAATCTCGGGTTTATCATAGCCGTGAAGCCTGCCAACCACACAAGCACTGGCACCGAAGCGAAGCATGATGAGCTCTTCATCATCGACCAGCATGCGTCAGACGAGAAATACAACTATGAGAGGCTCCAAAGGACCACTGAAATACAGTCTCAGCGACTTGTCCATCCCAAGAGGCTTCAGCTGACGGCCCTTGAAGAAGAGATAATCCTGGAGAATGCGGCGGCTTTGAATGCGAATGGTTTCAAAGTTGAAACGGATACATCAGGACGCTTCCCTGTCGGGTCGCGATGCCAATTGACATCATTACCGCTGAGCCGTGAAGTTACGTTCAAACTGGACGATCTAGAGGAACTTATTTCTCTCTTGGGAGACAATTCTTCCGAGTCCTCATATTTACCCCGCCCATCCAAGGTACGAAAGATGCTTGCAATGAGAGCGTGCCGAAGCAGCATCATGATTGGCAAAGCCATGACGAGAAGCCAGATGTATACTCTTGTCAATCATTTGGGAGAGTTGGACAAACCGTGGAACTGCCCTCACGGACGCCCAACGATACGACACTTGAGTCGGCTGCAGGCATGGAGCGGAGTAGGTTGGGCGCAGGATATACGGCCCGATTCGATCGAGACCTGGCAGAGTTACGTGGATGAGGAGAACTGACTATCGTTGTTGATATAGAGTCTGTAGGATAGTGGATGCATTCTGTTGTACATAGATACAGGCGGGTAACCCAATGGCGAACGGAGCTCCTCTACCCAGATCTCTACTGGATGGTATCCCTGCGCTCAAGTGAAAGGAGTCGGTTCAGTTGACTTGTAAGTCTTTCGGCTCGCAGCGGCAAATGCCCAGTCCATCGGAAGCTACTGGTGTTCAGCCCGAGGCTATCATGACTACACATTGATTGGTGCAACAATTGAAATGCCGCGCTGTACGTGTTACGTATGTATGTAATAGCTCAGGGAATGCTTGCAGATGAACTCTCATTCTGTCGAGGTTTGATCATCACCAGCCGAATCGCGACTTCACTCGTGGCAGAACCTGTGCTGACAAAGTGGGTGTGGGGCGAGACTCGTTCAACCTACAACTACCTACATACTACACGCACTTCACTCCTTCACAGAGGCCGAGCCGGAAGCCACATCATGTTCTTCTGCTAACGACATCGCGTCGTTTTCATCAGCCGGGATGGCGAGCGTTGACGATGTCAACTTTGAACTCCCCAAACTGCGCACCTCCTTCTCGCTTGAGGTACACGCCGACCCTTGGGATGAGCGCGTCGCTCACGGCTCACTAACATCACTCTTGATACCTGCAGAATGACACCAGATTTCTCGGCAGTGACGACAATATTGCAGGCAAGCACTGGATCCTGATATCGAGCGGCTGTGATCTGGCCATGCGTGATACATATTAACCACCGGAGGCACATGTAGAATTCTTCGACGTCAAATTCTGCCCTTACCAACCTCTGGATCATGAGCCAGTCTTCGCTGCCATCAGTAAGAAACATGTAAGCTGCATACCTAGAGATGGCATCACGCATCTATCACGCACCTACAGAAGCTTCAGCGTGCTGACAACGCTCATTAGGTGATTATCTGCCGTCTCACAAAAGACGCAGACGATGCCAACCCATGCCATGTTATCAACGTCATCAGAGACGACGATGTACGCTTCAAGCACTCTACCACGAGTTGGACCTCACTAATGAACGCCTAGGATGAGGCTGCCAGCTGCTGCTGTACGTGGACGATGGATGCCGTTAGTGGAAGGCCCTACATCTGCATCGGCGGCGTTGATGCCAAGGTCAAGATATACGACGTGATCAGTGGTGAATTGGTCGAGGTGTGTATCATAACTACCAGGAGGTCAAAGATCGAACAATGGGCTAAAGAGTTTCTCTCATCATCCAGTGCCTTGTCGGCCATGGAGGGGTTCGTTTTCTCCAGACACTTTACCCTTGCATCCACGTCGCGTTACTCACTGGAAGCAAAAGGACGTCAACGATCTAGCCACATCCCCTATCAACCCACACATCATCGCTTCAGCTTCCGACGACACAAGTGTGCGGATATGGAGCGTGGAAGAAAAACACAGGCGCCAGCCTTGTTTATGTATTCTCGCCGGAGAGGGCCATTCGTGGAATCTGCTCAGTGTCGTAAGGCGTCACCTCCTTTCTTGCCGTCCCGACATGTTCGTTGACATTGCCCCGTAGGCTTTCCATGAAACTGGCCGCTATCTTCTCTCCGGTGGTCACGATCAGATCATCAACTTGGTATGATCCCATTCTGTCTTACTTGGGGCTGCAAACGTGCTAATCATGACCTACAATGCAGTGGACCATTCCCGACCTCCCCACTGAACCCATTGATACACCGCTGCAGGTCCATTACCCCCATTTCTCGACTTCTGCAGTGCACAGCGGCATTGTTGATTGGTAATAGTCTCAAAGAGAGAGTGATGAAGTATTGTGCTAATGGAACGGTAGCGTCTCATTCTTCGGAGATCTCATTTTATCCAGAGCATGCCATGATAACGTCATTGTTTTGTGGAAGATTGAAGGATTCTCCTCGGACGGGCCTCTACCGGCCCAAAGCACTGCTCCTACGCCACAGAATGCCCTCCCAACAAACTATGAAGACCCTGGGCGGCTTACACGGTCTGCCTTTGTCCCATTGACCTCCCCTCAGTGCCCAGTCCAATATACACGGCTGCTGGCCTTCTACACTCCGAGCTGTGGTCCTCAGTTTTTCATGCGCTTCAGGCTACATCATGTGCCCAATCAGAATCCGGTGCTCGCGTTTTGCAACGCTGCAGGTAACATCTTCTTCTGGGATCTGAAGAGACTGACTGCGCACCGCGATATCATGTTGACCATGTCGAACCCCGCGGACAAAGACAAGCCCGTACAACTACCCAGCTGGCAGAAGACCGTCATCCCGCGTTCAAGGCCAGATTCAACAAACAAGCCCCGAGCAGCAGCCAGTCAAAACCAAGATTCGTCGGCCCCGGGGAATGTGAAACATGCCGACTCCCGAGAGTTCAGCCCAGAGACGTTGGAGTCCTGGGCAGCCAAGTACAGCATGGCCGACACCCACGAGCCGCTAAAATGCCATAAGATGGAGTCATCGTCGGCCAATTTCGTGGGCCGGCAAGCGTCTTGGAGTCCCGGAGGGGATTGGTGCGTTGTGGTTGGCAGCTCAAACACGGCCCTGTTGCTGCAGCGATGGGCCCAAAAAATGAAGGAGTGAGACCATGATGGGAAACAGGAACATGAGCAGCAGGCGGCTGCCTCTTAAATGCTGTCATGATGCGCATTGGGGCATCCGTGGATATCCGTATTGATACCCATATTCTCTTAGACAACTGGAGGCTTTTGACGAGCCCGATTTCAGGTTGCCATGTAAAACCTCGAGCTGCTCAAGCTTGATGAGGTGAGGTCCCTCGAGAGAAGCGTCGTGATCTCCCTGAGCCGCAAAAAGTGCTCGTTCTGAGAATAAGGCGGCTGATCCATGAGTTTCTCCATTCTGTGGTTGATATCCCGTAAACCAGTAAGAGTGCGCTGAGAAATGGCATCTCTCCGGGATCTTACCCAGTCTTCTTTTGTCTCGTATTGCGGCCCAGAGTCGCCAACTTCATAGCCGGGCCGTCTAGCGAAAAAGTCAAGTGTACTTGGCGACGTTAGCATGGCAGTGTCGTGAGGCGCAGAGTCCGCGTTTTGTAGTCGTATATCAGCCTCCAATCGAGCAATGCTTCTCAGATGCTCCGCGTAGATGGTGCTGAGCTCACAGCTCAGCAAGGCCAGCCAAAAGTCGAGTGCCGACGGCTTGTTCGGCTGCTTTGGATCGTATGCGAACTGACGGATCAAGATCTCGTAGTAGGACTTGATCTCGCTCAGATTGGCAGAAGAGCCCCAGCAAGGTGCAGCCACTCGCTTCCCACTGCTACCGCCGCCAGCAAATGCGCTCTGTGAGGATGATGGCTCTGCGTACTGCTGGTCAATCCCTTGCAGCTGCTCTCTCTGCCGCATGAGAATCTCCGACCCGATTGACCAAAGGTTGTGCAGCCGAATGTCGATGGGCTGAGCCCGAGGCCGCAGCTGGAGGACGATTGCAAAGGCTTTGGCTGCTTTCGAGATGTCTCCTTGAGCCAGGAATTGCTCAGTCGCACGCAGCATCACATCCAGGTGGCCCTTGCGATCGTCATCCCGGCGTGTCGACTTCCGCCGGCGCCTCTCAGGCTCGGACTGATATCTCTTCTCTTCCTCCTCTGAATCTTGGCCCCGGTGCGGAAAGTTTTTGACTGCCCGTCTCGGATCTTCCTCTGCTCCCGAAAGACCTGCCAGAGCAAGCTGGACATCGGGGATTGACTGGTTGGAGCTGCGAAAAGACTGGACATGGGATCTGCCCGGGCTCCCGTAAATCGATTTGTCAAGGCTCATCAAGAAGGCTGTCTGCTCCTCCTGGGTGGTTTTTTTTCTTTCGCGCGATACCTCTCGCCTAACTGTGGAAATTTTACTGTTGCGATCACAATTGAATGAAGGTGGAAAAGTCCAAATCTAGGGAACGGAACGCCCCATACTAAGGGTGTATTTTATCAAAGCCATAAAATGAGGCCACAGACAAGATTCTACTTGCACCTTTTTCTCAGCATCTCACTAGATTTGGTGAAACGGGAATGCCACGGGCATTTATATTATGCATTGCTCATTACAATAACGTCCAAGTCTTGCATTATGAAATTGACAGCTTTCAGAGAGCATTTAGGCATCCTTTAAGCCATATCGCGATTCCTCCGGTAGCTAGCCTAATAAACGCCCTCGATGTCAGATGCTTATTAAAGTGCTGAGAATTTGGAGGTGCTGCCTACTTCTTGCTCCGTCTGCAGGGTCTCGAGGACCGGGGCGAGTTCACTCAGGATCTCATACGCCTTCTTGTGATACTCCATCTGGGCGGCAACCAGCTCGGCGAGGTTGCGGAGCGGCTCAGGTGTGTCCAAGACCTGCATGTTGCATGATAAGTCAGCGTTGGAAATCCCTCCTGGTAGTGTGTAGCAGATAGACCTACGTTCTTCATCACGCCAACTGCTTCCTCGGTCTGTGTGACAAACTCATCTTCCGCTTTTTCGATTTCTTCTTGGGCGTCAGAGCTCAGCTCTGCGTCGTCTGGACGCTCGCCCCGAGAGTGACCACCAAGCTTGAATGTATTTCCCTTCACGCGAGCCTTGACAGCGTCGAGCGACAGCCTTGAATTCTCGACATTCTTTCTTGCGCGCGCCGCGAATGTAAGGTTGGTATTGAGAGTCGTGTTCCATCCAGCCAAGAACCGACTCTGGATTTGCGAATCTTGGGCAAGACGCGCATCGCCCACCCGTTCCATGGCAAGCGCATATTTCTCGAGGGCCGTCGCCAACGGATCCTCGCCAGCCCCTGTGTGATGCTGGTGCAGGAGTTGGCTGCTAGCTAAGCTCGCACGGGAGATGGCATGGTTGAAGGTTTTCGGCTGTGGCTTCGCGGATGCCGGGGCCACCAGGGCTGCTTGAGCTTCCGCGGGCGTCGTGGCTGAGGATAGAAGGCTGACCTTCTCGCTCACAGTTCGACCAAGGTCTTGAAAGGTCTCTTTGATATTGGGCGGGTAGTCATAGGCTTCAGTAGCATATTGCGAACTGTCCAACCGTCTAGGTTAGCACAAAACCCGACAAAACCGGAGGGCTACTTGGGCAACAGACGTCACCGCCAGCATCTTCTGGTGGGCTTGTTTCAGAGCATCGACCTTCTTTTCAAGGTCGATGTAATCGGCAGGAAGCTCAGTCTAAGGCATTGAACAGTTAATGCCACACTCATATGCTGCAACAGTCCCGGTACCGCGAGTCGCATACTCGATCATCCGCCTGGCCCAGTTGTTCCTTGGTGAACTGGAGTGTCCGTGACGCAAATGGAGTAATCTGCGCACTGAGATCGCTGCAAGTTTCCCAACCAGGCTGTCAGTATCATGAGTGCGCCATGTATAGCAGCATTCTATTTAGGGAGACTCACGAGATTCCCTTGCTGAATTTTGAGAAATCCATATTGACTACTGTCCTCTGGCTTAAGAGAAGGGCGAATTAATCTTCATAAGAGTAACTTGGCAGGTAAAGCTTGGTTGAGATACGGTTGCGTATCCAGTTGTATCCATCTCTCAAGTCCATCACTTTACTTGAGGTATTTGCCCCGCACTAACTACTAGAGTAACCCACTAGAAACTTGCTACCCCTCTACAGAGTCACGTCGCCCTTGTATACACCCTACAAGCATCACAAAGGTTAATTAAGTACAATTTGCCACATGTACAGCAACCTACTAATCAGCGAATTTAGTATAAGAGAATAAGTCGCGCGACTTCAGTATATAGAGACAGGGCGGTACCTTTATAACATGCCTGATTTCACCTGCTACTGCAATATTAGCTATAGAATTGCTTTCTTATAGCTGTATTATATTAAAGGTAATTAGTCTTTCTTCTCTTTAGCTTCTTAGAGTATATCTCCTTTTCCTTCTTAAGGTAACTAGGCTTATAAAATAGCAGAGGGAGTATATTTACTAATTATTACTAAAAAAAATTCCTTTATACTTATAATATATAAAGCTAACCTTTATAATGCTTATAAGGTATACTAAGTATATTATATTCTTATTATAATATATAAGTTAAAGTATAATTTAAAATAAAAAATACTTAATAAAATAAAATTATTAAATAGTTTAAATTATATATATTAATTATTTAATAGTATATACTTAATATTAAATAAATATTATCTTAATAAAATAATTTAATTAATATTATTAATAATTATAAGTATTTCTTAAAAATACTTAATATATTAATATAAATAAAATTAAATATATAATAAATTTCAATTATTAATTATTTATAAATATTTAATTACTTTTATAATATAATAATATAATATTTAAAAGTTTTATATAAGTAATAAAATTATTAATTTAAATCTAGCTTAAACTCTTTTATTAATAAATTAAATTCTTTTACTTATAAAATAATTAAAAAACTATAATACTTAAGATTTTAAAGCTAGGCTTAGTAATTAATATTTAAGATTAATAAATACTTAAGTTATATTTTAATATAATAATTAAAAACCTAGCTTTATAATTAAAAACTAAAGTTTTATTATTATAATTATTTAATATTTTTTTAAAATAAGTACTTTTTTAAAAAATATTAAAAAAGTAATAAAATATTAATAAATATTTAAAAATAATATTAAAAAAAATTTAAATTATAAAAAAGTCTTAATAAAATATAACTTTAATTATATTAATTAAATTATAAGTTTATATTAAATATAAATAAAAATTAAAAATTAATTATATTTATTTTTAAACTTTTTATTAAAGTATAAGTTATTTATTTATTTATATTTATAAATATATTATAAAATTATAATTCTTTTAAGTAAAAGTTATAAGCCTTTAATAATAAAATTATATTAACTTATTTAATATTTATAAATCTTTTATATAATAAGAATAAATATTAACTATAGCTTTATATTATTAACCTTATTCTCTTTCTTATTTAAATAATAAGTAATATACTAAAGTATAATTAATAAAGCCTTATACCTTAATTAATTTATATATCTAAGGTTTAAGAATTTAAAGAAGAATTAAATCTTTTATATAAGTATAATATATAATACTTTTTTTTTAAAAAGCTTTTTAAGCTTTAGTTTAAATAATATTATTTATTATTATTATTACTTATTTAATTAAAATCTCTTTTTTTATTATATTTTAAAACTTTTATTAATAATTATTTAAATAATTATAATAATTATTATATAATTTACTATTATTAAACCTTTTTTAAATTAACTTTTTAATTTTTATAGCTTTATTTAGCTTTTTTTTATAAAAAATAATATTAATTATTAATATAGCTTTTATAATACTTATAGCTATTTATATTTTTTTAATTATTAATAAAGCTATTAATAGCCTTATTAAAAAATAAAAATTAATTTAAAAGTAAATTACTTAATTAAAGGCCTTTTAAAAGCTATAAGCTAAAAAAGTAATATTTTTAATAATAATTTATTATATTAATATAAACTTTAATTATAAGCTAAAACTTAAGAATAATAATAATAACTTTTTAAATAATAAAAAAAAAGTTAAAATTAAGAATATTTATAAAATAATTATTAATATTAACTTTTATTTTTATAATAATTAATTAAATAATTTTTAATAAATATTTTAAAAAGCCTTTTAATATTATAAAAAAAAAGTATTAAGAAATCCTCTTTTTTTTAAAATATATAAGTAATAATACTTAAATAAAATAAGTATTATTTTTTAATAAAAAAATAAAATAAAAAAGAAAAGCTTTAAAAAAAATTAAAATATTTTTAAAACTTAAAGTAATACTTTTATTAAAGATTTAATTTATTAAGAACTTATATAGTATTATAAAAAGCTTATTAATAAAAGAATTAGTTTTTTTATAACTTTTATATTTATTTAAACTTATTAAAAAAATACTTTTTTTTATAAATTAAAAAACTTATATTTTTTTATTATAATAAACTTTTATTATTTTTATAAAATTATATTAATTAATATAATAATAAGATTTTAAAAATATAAAAAAGAATACTTTTATTAATTACTTAATATTAAAACTTATTATAAAAAAGCTATAAAAAATAACTTATTAAAGGCTATATTAAGTTATTTATAAACTACTTAATAAAAAATAAATAAAAGCTTTTTAAATAATATAATAAAAAAAAAGTCTTAATATTTTCTTTTTATAATAAAGTTATAATTATTAAAATTAAAATAATAAAAAAATAATATACTTTAATTATAATAAACTTAATTACTACTTTATTAAATATACTAGCTTAAAATATTAAAATAAAAAAAAATAATAATTAAAATAATTATCTTTACTTTAATTAATTAAAAAATAATAATAAAAGTAAAGTAATATTTTAATATAATTATTATAATAAAAAACTAAAACCTTTTAACTTATATATAAATATAAATATAAAAGATAAAGTAAATATTATTAATATTAAATTTATATAATAATAAAAATATTAATAAATATTAATACTTAAAATATACTTAAAAATCTTAAATAACTTTAATCTTTTTTATTATAATACTTAAGCTATATTAATTATATTTATTAATTTTTAAAAAATAACTTAAAGTTTTATTTATAATTATATTAATATTAATTAAAATCTTTATTTTAAAAAAATACTAGTTTTTTTTAAAAAATATTAACTTTTATAAATAAGTAAATTTACTTAATATTTTAAAATAAAAAATAATAATTTAAATAAAATTTAGCTAAAATTTACTTAATAGCCTTTTATAAATTTAAATATATATATAAAAATATTATTTATATATATATA